GTCATATAACAGGCTACAGAGGCAACGCTTTTATTCTTTCCAAGTGTTAGTAGGGGTATAATTCTAGTTTTGAGCCAAATGAGTTTGTGACAATTGATTTAGCCTGGCTGTTGCTACAAAACTTCATAATAACAGAGCATATTGTAGGTTAAATAGGTCATAATTAAGTAAGAAATTTTATTATATTTATGTATAAACAACTTATTTGTATTCATAGTGGATTGTCTCCACAAATCTATTCTTGTCTCTGAGCCGAATAGAAATTTAATGTCATTGTTATGTTTAGGTGAACATCACACTCTTGTATTCCCCTCTGTTTGGCCTTGAATAAAAATCAGAGCAACAATAATATAAATGGTATGAAAGTAGTCATGAACAGTAGCCCATCTGTACTGGACAGAATTCTACAAATCAATTAGATGGTCATAAAAAGCTAAACAGATGTGGATGAATCAACTGTGGAAATAAAATGGATTGAACTCTTACGTTTATTGTTCATGTATAACCCTTTTTAATAACCAAGATGGGTAAATTACACTAATTAACCTTTAAAAATTTAGATGATTTCTAAATAATAGCTTCAAACAATGCCTATTCTTTTCATTGTTACTTCTAAGTGTTTTGTCCATGACAAGGCAGTTTCATTAGAAGATCTACAGAGGCAGTTGTTTAAATGTGCTGTTTCTTTTTTCTTATTTCTCAATTAGACTTTCTATACTACATACTCCCACCTCCACCCATCAGGTAGTGCTTGAAGTCAGAAGAAATCAAATCCATATATCCTAGGAAGCAATGACCAGAAAACTCATCTCCTGGAGACCACTTGAGTTGGGTCTCACTGCTCTTGGGTGGGATAGATCACCTGACAGGACAGCAAATCCTATTCTTAGCCATAGGAGCACGTTATTCAGGCTAGGGCAACGCTGGCAGCAAAGGCAACGTGTAGCCCAATGCTTTTGGACAGGTTGCCTGGATCCTCAGCAACCCCCAGGGCTGTGGATGGTTTTCATCCATTTTGCCATGTTTGAGGTAGCAATTGAGAGGATTGTATGGGCTCATGTTATAGCACAGCTGAAACCAGGCCTCTGTAGCCATGGGAATCTCTCTACCCTGAAGAACTTGGGAAGCCTTCAACAGGGAGAGGGGAAACACTTGCTTTCATTGTGGAAGGGAAAAAGTATCTGTAAGGCAATCTTTCTGGAGACCTTTTTTTTTTTCATGGAGACTCTTCAAAGCATCTTCTCCATGTCTTCATTCAGGAGAGGATAGTTCAGCATCTGTTACTGTAAAAAAATGTTTTGTTTATTCTCACTAGTGCAAGTGACTTGCAAAATCATCAACCAAAAATATATTATTATTTTTTTTATTCAGTATTTTGACTACTTCTCCTTCAAATAATGTATCTTTGGTGTTCTGGGGTTAAAATTTCTCAGTGGTGGTGTAAGGTCTTAATTAAAACAAAAGAGAGAACTTATATTTAAAAAAATACATTAAAAAATCCAGCACCGATCACAATACATTGGATGGAATGGTGAATGGTTTGAGTTTCCTAAATTACTGATATTACCTGCTGATACGAGGGCTGTTCAAAAGGGCACTTCACTTTTGGGTTTATTTATTAAAATCCTGCACTCAACTGTAAGAAATTAGCCTCCTAGAGAGGAATCGCTCCCTACTCAGGGGAGCCTGAAACAGAGAAAAGGATCATGCAGACGCTGCAGAGCTGCTCAGTAACACACGCTCCGCTGCCTTCAGACACCTCTCAGGCAAGGTGCTAAACTGCAATGGGAAGCACTCCTCAGGGAGACAAATGTTCTTGGCTTAAAAGTGATGCTCTTAGACATCTTCCTCAAATAATGAATGCCAAATTTACAGTGCTGTGCAATTATCCTTTTTTTCTTGTAACCAGAAGCCCTTAACAACTGAGGTGAAGTGTGAGACACAGGCTATTGGACTCTGGCAAAACCTGGAAAGATCTCTACATCAGCTTTCAGGTAAGCACAAATAAGGAGACAGACTGTCTCACTTTTTCTGTGAAATTTTGCACATTGCAGCTGGGATACAAGTCTGTCTTGACTTCTTCCAGTGGAAACCAAACTATCCTTTCAGTTCTCGGTTGGCTACAGAGATTTTTAGTATTTCCTTCAAAGCACGCCCCTTGAAAATATCAGGTGCAGAAGAGATGCAGCTCAGGGAAGAGCCTTGGCAGCCTGCGATGCTTCCTAATCTCTCCCTGGAGGACATACCATGGTCATTCTCTCTTTTCCTGCCAGTTTACGGTAGAATAAGCTTGTCGGTGTTGGTAACATGGAATAGCTGTACAGTAGAACAATAGTAAACCTGGCTAAATTAAGCAATGCAATTCCTAATTGCATGCAATTTTAATATAGAGAGAGTAGACGTGTGGGAAAGGTTCACTGAATTTCATCTGAACTTTGTGATACATCATCCTGCAATGGGTTGCAGTCAGGTTCAGGGCAAGAGATTCTCAACCAGGAAAGCTTGTATACAAAATTACCATTGTATAACCCACATCCAGGTGTTTTTTGTCTGCTGACAAGTTAGAGGTTCACATTGTCCTAAGAGAATTGCTTTTCTTCCTCTCGTGCGACTCCAGTACCAAATGCCAGAATCCAGCTATGGCATTGACGCACGACTGGTGTCAACAGGATTTCCACTACTGACTGGGGGAGGAGGGTGGGGAGAGGTGCTGGGACCATCCTCTCAGATGTCCATGTTGAAGGTGAGATAGACTTTTAATGAAGAGCACACTTGCCCGTGAGCCTCAGTTAATGATGAATCTGCTCTACGTTTATCATTTTTATGGCAGTGTGTTTGCTGAAGGACTGAGTTACCATCTTACAAAAAAAAAAAAAATAGAAAAAACAGAAGCAAACTTTCTCCAATTGCTTGCAAAATAGGGAGCTCTGGACTGACAGCCAGGCAGAGTGCCTGGTGCTGTAGGATAGTTCTTCTTGCTGTGCTGCAGACAAGGTGCAGGCAGCCAAGGGTTTCCACAAAAGCACTGCTGTCCTTTCACAGGCAAACCCGTAACAGTACTGGGATTACGTGTGCTGGAGCACGGTGAGAAGGAAAAGAGGATGTTTAACAAAGATATAAAGTTCTCTTCTTAAGAACACCTTGGTGTGTCCTTTTGGAGGAAAGGGAGTGCAGGTCAGCCCAACATCAGGTCTTGGTCAAGGTGTTGAAACATGAGAGCAAGACAGTCAACGGTTCCTCTGCTTTTGCTTTGCTTGTGGTGACCTTTCAGACTTGTTCAGCCATCGCAGCCCCACCTGTCAGCAAGCACTGTAGCGTTTCAGGTGCAGGGGGAAACCCGCATAATTGGTAGTTCTGGAAAACAGATAGTGTAAGAGTGTCTACCCTGCATCTCCTGAATTATGGGGGTGTGGTGGATTGGGTAGCTCATCTCTTTCTGCAGAAATAGTTCTTACAGTGGATGTCAGCTGCAGGAGGTAAAGCCCAAAGAGACAAAAGGCAAGCAAGGACAAACTGGTAAGACCAGTAGCCTTGAATCCAGGCACAACATCCTGTTCCCCCACCCCTCTACGCATAAAAGCCACAGCAGAGGAAGGGGAACTTCCAGCAGCTTGGCAGCCCTCTGAAATTTGCAGCTACTTTTAATGTGCAACTCACAGCAGAGAATCTCTTTCCAAAGCGTTTTTATAGGACAGACACATTAGCATTAAGCATATAAGAAATTAACAGCTTGAAACCAAAGAATGGCAAAGGTCTAATAACAAAGCAAGAGGAATACACTTGAAAAATGTCAAGGTATCTGTAGCATTTATTTGATAAAGTATATAGGGCTAATAAATTACCATCCAGAGTACTTCTACTGTTGTCTCCTCAGTTATTGTCTTGCTACAATTCATCTTGATTATGCTTTCAACCCTTAACTGCTACGTTGCTGCCATCTTGAGAAAGAGCAGAAGGAGAATCCCATGGCAAGAGATCTTTCAAGTAGCAGGCAATTCACTACAGAAAAAGCCACGCTGAAACTGCTAATGCAGTCTTTTTGTAACTAGTTTCCCTTAAGGAAGTCATCAGTGCTCACAATTTATTCCAAAATGATGATTGAAGTATTTTTTTTATATATATATACTATATGTACTTGTTTTAATATAAACTAACAACAACTAATTCAGTATTACCTAGGTCTGAAAGATTTCTCTATCTGCCACAGGTTAATCTCCTCCAGGGCTTCAATCCAGAATTTTCCAGAGAAGACTACAGAGTGCAACCCAGCAGACTTAGCCAGCACATCCCACCAGCAGCTGAATGACGGTGCAGGTGAGTAGAGGCTACTGGTTTATAAAAGCTAAATCCCTGTGGCCATCCTCCTCTCCTCAGTTGTCACCACCACCTCCCACCGCTCTTTCAAGTACTAACTGTGTGAAGTGTGTGACACGAGGCACAATTACATCCATATTGTACTTGTTTGAGCTATAGCTCTTGGGACACAGTGTAAAAATAAAAAAACAGTGTTTTGTAGACAGGAGGTAAACCTTATCTACTTGAGCTAGAAGTTACAGCTTACTGTGCTGCTTCGCCAAAATACCCCTCATAGTATGAGCTGTTAGGATTTTCAACAATGGCAACACTTTGCATAACAAAAGCAGTCTCTGTAGGATACTGTACTGATGTGTAGCGTACAATCTGAGTAACAGTCCTACACATTGGCCGGTTGTAGTCTTCAACTGCAAAAGTACCTCTTTGTATCCAATGCAACCTTCAGAGAAGTATTAGGTGCAGTTGCTGCAATAAATGTTAGATAAGAACAGAGAATCATAGAGAATGCCTACTATTCTTTAATGTCCAGACTGTGTCCAGTCATAACACCAGCCACAGAGACCAACAGAGGGCCATAGACAGCACAACTGCTGCAAGCAGAGCTGTTAATATAAAAGACTCCCTCCAAAACAGCTACTTTTTTTCTCTACTGGAATAAAGACAGCAAATAAACTGAAGAACTGGTATAAATAGAAAATGGTTTATTAAAAAAACAAACAAACCACAAAACAAACAAATCACACTTCAGTGTGTGTCCAAAGCTCTGACTTTAATTTAAGCTACATACCCAGCATCCACACTCAGCAGTCACATGCATGACAGCATGCACACGGCAGGAAGGGAAGCTGGTACCTGCTGGCATGCTCCTGAAAACCTCCCCTGGAGCTGTCTTTAAAATATATTGTTTGTTAGCAGAGTATGACGTTTTAATTCCTACAGGACACTGAGGAAGTGAAGAAGAGGTGTCTCTATTTACACATAGAGGTTTTCCATAACCATCTTCCAAAAAGAAATGTGAATTTGCTGCATTTCTAACAGCTGTGAAAACAGTGACACATATGGAAAAAGATGCAGGTAAGCATGCATACTGCAAATGGGTTTGTAATATTATTTTTTGCCTAAGACAGTTTACTTATGAGGAAGTATTTGGTTTTATTTCACAAGCCTATGCAAACTACTTGAAAGTATTCATAGGATAGTCCTTTTGAATACTCACTCATCAAAAATTACACATGAAATGTAGCTTCTGTATGTGGGTTAAGACATTCCACATATGAACAATGCTGCAATCCTCCTTTATAACAGAAGGGAATGGATTATTAGAATGCTATTCCTAAAACATTCTTAATTTTAAAGTAACTATTTCATTAATAAGACTGTTTTTAAATGAGTTCTTCTGAAAGAAAGCTTTCAAGATAATCCAAAAGGAGTTTATATGCATGCTTTGCTTTCATTGCTGAAGTCATCCCCGATGAACACCACTCAGGTCCATGGTTTAGGTATGTGTGAAGCATGACAAGGATTCTGAAAAGACTTTTTTTTTCATCGAAGAAGCCGCTCAGCCTCCTTGGACTTGCTTTCTTTTGTTTTCCTCAGTAATGCCTGTTTTATAGCATTGATCTTTTCATCAAGTTCAGCCAAGGAATAGTTCTGCTAAAAGAACAAAATAAAAACCACAATCATTTACATCTTGTAATTGCTAGGGAAGTGGCAAAGCACTTGATACTTGAGGTCACTGCATATTGCACTAAATGATAGAAATACTTTTGCAGAATTGTCTAGTCTATGGTTACTTAAACTTGAAAGAAAAAGAACGTAAACTTAGAAGAAATGGAAGGTCCTAATCACGGATCAATATATGCATGCTATTTCCAGTAGATGCTTGTTTAACCTGTTCATAAAAAAACCCAAAAATTCTTTGATGCTTAAAGACCAGACAAGACTACCTAGGTCTTGTAGAACCAGGCTTTACAACCGAAGGATTAATTTCCTACTGCCCAACATCAATCTCCTTTATGCTGACTTAACCTGACAATTTTGTTGATCTCTTCTTATACAAATATTCACTCTATGGAGGACTTTTTTTCTTGTGTAAACAAGCCTACTTCCTCAAGTCTCAGATGGCCCACCTCCCATTCTAGGCATTCTCCCCCATCCATCTGTCTCCAAGCGGGATGGCTAGTGACAGACAGTGTTCCAGCTACGGTCTCACTGGCACTGAGAAGAAATCTTCTCTTGTAGCCTGAAGTACACGGTTATTGCATTCCCAGCATCCCAGGATGGGTGTTGTGAAAATGACCAGTCTTACTGACTTTGGTTAATAACTACCCCAACGTCAGGTTCTTCTGCAAGACTTTTGCTCAGCCATCCATTTCTACTTCTATTGTCTCTTCATGAATCAATAAAATGAATTAAAAAAAATTAAATTAACAATCAAGAAAAAACAGAAAACAAAACTAGAAGACATTACTAGACGGCTGATCAGAATTCACAAATTGCTTGTTACCCCCAGCTTGACTAATAACATTACAGATTTATTTTATTCTGTCATCCCTCTAACTGGTAAAAACACTAACGTAGCCTTGTACAGGCTCTTGGAAGACTCCTTTCATTGTGACACCCATTAACTTTCTTCCTCCTTGCCTCTCTGTCTTTGCCAGCAAACTACCCAATACTGATGCAACTATTTCTGAGAAGTTAGATGCTTGTGTGGTAGAACTTCTGATTACTCTTCACTCAGAACATCCTAAACTTAAAGTAAACAAAAGTTAACAGCACTTACGTGGGAAGGTTGAATCTTTCTTCTCTTGCCAGAACAGCTCTAAAGAAAAGACAGAATCAAAACAGACATAATGTTGCACTGACAGAGGATCACAAGTAATTCTCTAACAATGTTGACAAGAGTCTTTAAAGTACAGAAAGAACACTGGCTGCCATTCCATGAATTAAAGAAGTCTTTTTTATAATTTAGTGTACTTTGGATCAAGAGAAATACTACTGGAGAGCAGGCAGAAGCTGTTGAAGCTTCTCCACGCTTGGCAGCCAAGAACTAACAACTTAACTGAAGCTTCCTTCAGACAAAACCAAGATCAATATCCAGCTTTTGAAACTGTCAATATTTTTCTCCCTAAAATTTTCCTGTATCCACACTAGTATGTATGCAACACTACTATTGCCACCATCACAGATTTTTCCTAGATCCCTGTTCTAGGGAAGATCCTAAAGCACTTTCTGTGAAAATTTCAGCTTATAAAAATGTATGTTTTAATTTCTGGTTTCCAACAACTTGAAGGAATAGCCTCACAAATAAAGGACTTTATTGGTCTCCAAACAAACAATAAATGAAACAAAAATTGATATTATTGCTATTGATTTTTAATTGCTCAGTCTTCTTTGGCCTCAAGGGAGAAGATTAAAATTATTCATTGATCATTAAAATATGATCAACAGTAAAAGAGACATTCTTACTGTTATGTGAGGAAAGAAGAGCAAGATAACAGACAAGACATTTCTACATCAGCTAAGCAGAGCCTGACATAGTCACAGCTAATGTTCTCTTTGTCCTAATCTCCTTTGGTGAGTGAAAAATAAGGTTCACTGCTCAGAAAGAGACAGAACCCTGCCCGAATACTAAAAAAAAAAGAAACCAAAGTCATAGAATCACACAAAACAATTTTTAAAAGATTTACTCTCTCCCTCATATTGGAAGTTATTTCATGTAACTGATCTTCAGTAATCAGATCATGTACAGAAGCTCAAAGGATTTCAGCTGATTTAAGCCATTAACAATTCATATCAAGATCAAAACTTTAGTCAATTTTCTTGTCATAAGAAAGACTTCAGATTTTAATGCAGGGTGGGGGTGGGGGACAAGAAGAACAAATCCAACCTCCAGAATAACATTTCATACAACATGTGGCAGGGGGTTGGAACTAAATGATCTTTAAGGTCCCTTCCGACCTAAACCATTCTATAATTTCTTACACATTAGTTAAGCTTGGGTGGCTGTAATTCCTACTCCGCCATAACAAAGACTATTTTCTTTCAAATGAGAAATTAGGTAGAGAAATATGAACTTACATAGATGGTCTACATGAAATATAACCGTTACAGCAAGCCAGAGTTGTCTACCAAAAGTCTCTGTCCTCTGACTCATTAGGTTTTTGTCCATACATCAAAGATCTAAGCACAAAATTCCCAAATGCATTTAGGTATGCTAAAAGAAGTTGAGACAATTTCTTACTACAGATTGAAAATATTCAGGAGACAGTCCTTCCAGCTCAAGGATTTTATCTTCAAGCTTCTTAATTCTCTGATAAATGTCTCTTGGTACAGGACCACCTAAATACACCAGTGCAAATACAAAGAAATCAGGAAAAGTGCTTGAATAACTTTTTAAACTAGAGATTTCAAGTTTCACAGGTGAATTCGAGTCCAGCTATCAAACAGTAGCTAAAACAACATGAATAGATGGGATAATAAAAGGAAGATTAATTAATATGATTCAGGGTAAAACCTGACTGATAAGTCAGTGCAGCCAGTGAAGGCAATAGACAACTTTATGAAGGTGGTTTAAATACATCTGACAAAGTCCCTGGAACAACTTATGATCACTCTTACAATACATTGATCATACACCAAATGTTACCACTTCAAAACTGACAGCAGCATCAGGAGGGAGCAGATGGGATGGCAGAGCACACGTTAATTCAGCACTTAGATATCTTAGATTGTTCTGAAGGAAACCTATCTCCTCTGAGCATCAGAGGTTAGAGGACAGGAATGAGTTGGACTTGACAAATAACAGCGTTTGCCTGGCGATAGATGGGAGAAGCAGGGGTGGGGAATGTGTGTGTGGAATGGAATAACAGACCTTTGGTAAAACAAACAAACAAAAAAACCCCAAACCCAAACAACAACAAAAAAAACCACAACAAAACTCTCAAACACCACAAAAACAGCAGCAACAAAAACCCCCACCTCAACTCATTTGCTGTTTGCAGCTATAGGACAGCAGCTTGGACTTCATTCCCCATATCAGAACAGAACTGATGAAAACATAAGCCACCTGTTTCCATTTCTTTTTCAGTCTGTTAGGTAAAACAATTCTATTCCACAAACTACTGAAATAAACACTAATGGTTTTTTTTTTGCCATTCATCTATTTCCTCACTTCAGACAGGCAATTCTGCAGGTAGCTTCCCTCCTCTAACTCATCACTCAGCAGCTACTAATTAAATTGGCTAACCTCTCATTCTTCTTAATATTGCTGTCTCTTAATGTAAAGGGAAAAGAGCAGCACTAGCACTAGAGGAAGCTGTTCTGAAAAACAGCAGGTGAGTTAAGAACAACTGTTTCAGTCATCAGAAAAAAAACCTGGCCAGCAGGTAGCTGAGGCAGGTTACCAGCTCAGATGTATACATCTCGCACAGCTGCTGGGGTAACAAATGACCTTGAGATCTTCCCCAGAAATGCTGATTTGAACAGGAGTTGAGCTGCAATTGCACACTTTCATCCTCTTCCCCTATACCATAGTTTAGCCGATTTGTTCCTCCAAACAAAATTATGTCACCTATTATAGGCACAACCTGTAAACAAGGGTCCCTCCTTAGCTACCCCCAATCATTATCCCTGATACCCATAAATTCCAAAGCTGCTACACATTATAATCTTAATGCTGTCCAGCCACTTGAAAATTCTATTTCCATTCATAAAAAACACCTTATTTTTGTGACAGCTATATAGCTAAGTGTCAAGCTCTGACTGCTGCCTCAACAGTATCCATGAATATTTTACTCGCTGCCAGAGGACTTTGAGCCCATATGCATTCAGAGGAATCTAGTGATACAGTCAATGTTCACCATATTCTTAGAGAATGGATTGGGATCTATTCAGAATTCAGACGAGGTAAAAAGTCAGTATGTGTCTGCAGGATGATGTGTAGAACATTTACTTTATTAGGTGAAAATCTGGGCTTCTGTTCTGTTTTGAAAACATTTTTCAGATACAGATTCCTACTTGATAAGTGCCGGGGTGAAGAAAGCAACTACTTTAAAAAAAGCCAGTAGCTTTGTGGCTATGACATTTATTTTAGTGAAAGGTGTGGACCTACGTTTGCATGGCTAAAGGAAAGTATTGACAATGAGCTTCCCACATTCTGGGAAATAAGCTTCTCACCTAACTGTATTTCAAGAATCATCCACCTTTAGGAGAAGGTTTCAGGGTCTTTTGGGTTCATCCTTTTCCCAGCCCACAAGGTGTCTATGAAGCAGGACAGAATCCTAACCTCAGCTTCTCCTGTTCAGTGGGTCAAAGTAAAAGGACTCCACTGGCTATGGAGAACCCCTACCTCCAAATATTCCAGACTGTTTTAAATCCCCTTCTGAAGTGCCTCTCTCTCGTTTGCCACCACATCAAGTGTAGATTTACTAACACAGTATCCTAATTTAGGGCATAAATGGGTTCCATTTTGGGTCTAAAAATCTAAACATTAGATTGCAGTACCTGGGGTTACTAAACCCTTCAGTGGATCTATCCACTGTCTTTACAGTCACAGTTTTTACAGACTTGCCCAGTTTTAGCACAGTAATAGTAACTGTACTACAAACTGGCACACCCATGTCAAAATTAAAACATCATACAAACCTGTTTGCAAACGTAAGTGTGCTTCAATGTTTTGCAATCTCTCCTCAACAGCTTGGTTTCCACAATCATGAACGGGTACATTTGCTTTATGACTGGACCCATGTGTTCCTTCAGATCTAGTCTGAGGTCCGTATGTATTTACTACCCTAGAAACTGGGTAAAGAGAACACAAATATAACATCTATGCAGATGAAACACAAAGTACATCTAACAAAACAATCAAAGTATTAAAATACAAAAACCTGTGTTAAATCAATTTCACACCAGTCTCTCATGTGAAGGGTCCCATACACATTAAGATCAAATGTTCAAGTAAAAATATTTTCCTATTTCTGCATGAGTAACTAAACACAAACCTAGGACTTCACATATGCAAAGTAAAAGAATTACTCATACACTCATGTAGAATGGCAGTATCAAGAATTTGTCATCACCTGCTGAAAAATAGCAGAAAACCCACTATCTATGTCAGCAGTTGCACATGTGAGCTGTTGTGAATGTAAAGAAGCAGCCAGACCTAATATTACAGGAAGCATCATAAATACAAGACGAAGGGAGGTATAAAACTAGAAGAACCACTCGGAATCTCAGCAAGGAAGTTCTCCTCTTATTTTGTTACTCAGGTAACAGACTCTTCAGCTGCTTTTTAGTCTATCTTTTCCCCTCTGAACCATGTCTTCATCAGAAGATTTTGATCACTTCTCTTTAACTCACAGTCATTTCTCATGTCCTTCCTGAGAGACTACTGCAGTGTACTGCAGACTTAAAGACTTAAAGTCCTTCAGGAAGGCCATGTTACATTCTTCCTTCAGTTTATGCTGGCTTTACTTCCAATTCCAATTCCTTTGTAAGCATTATTCATGTTTTGGATATGAACTGTTCAATTTTAATTACCTGAAGTGCAAACTTTTTTCCTATAGTACGCTACCATCCAAGCTACAAACTAGCATTCAGTTTAAAGAAGTGCCCACTGAAAGGGGTTGCTAGTGAAAGTTTCTAAATTCAAACTCACTTCCCCGTCTCCCTCTTAGCTCATCAGACCTTTAAATGCTTATACCTATCATCGTGCTTCAGAGTGTTACTCTGACTTCTAGAATTGAGTAAAATGAATTGGTTTCTACAACCAGTGGATATCAAGTGGATAACTGAATACTACCACTCAAAAATCAAGAGAGGGTTACTTCCATTCTCACTTTGGAGATTGCGTTCGTTTGTTTTTAAACACAAAGTAACTTGCATGCACCTAGAGTGCAGCAGATGGCCAAGCAATCTTTTATACCCAACTTCTGTTGGACAATCATTTCTACGCTATTTCCAAAAGGTAGTGTAGTGCTTGTTCCCCAGCTTGTCACTTCCCATAAACCTATGTCTCAGAACTTCCACTGTGTCCCAAATCTATTTTCTAATTCAATATACTTAAATCACCTCACACAAAAATAGGAGATAATTTTAATTAGTCTCAACTCCTTAACTGAATTGCTGGTTTCACTTTAGAAGAAAAGCTACGAATTGTTCAGTTTCTCTGTCCTGCTTTATCTTTTGCATCTTTCCTTTCAGACAATGAAAATAGGCCACTTTTTTTTTTTTTTTGGTCTTCAGTGCTTTAGTGCACAACTGTCAGCTTAATGAAGCAATTATGGGATTGAAAACCTTGGAAAAGTAAGCGAAAACATAAAAGTATTCACTAGAGAAAAAAATCACTATGTTAAGTTTGCATTTTTGAGCGTTCTCTAAGAAGTTTTTAAATCAAAAATTCATCAGCACTGTCCTATCTGGACACTTTCAATAAATGGGTATTTAAACAGTTGCTTACCCTTTATATGGCTTTTAAATCCAGGATAGGGTGTGAAAATTGCATCTGTTCTGGCACAGCTATTTTCTAAATAAATAATAACAATATAAAAAGTGAGGTCTTAATTAGGTATTTATAATTTAAAATATTCTAACCATCATTAGCTTTGAGGGTTTTAACAAATCTAATTAGAATTTTTCATACAATAAAAGCATCAGAAATATTTGACTCATTCTACAAACATTTGCTCGTTAATAATTTCACACACTTGCATGAACCTACTGGTTTTATTTGGGTAAGTAACTTAAATGTATGCATATGTGTATATAAAAGTTTGTTGGATCAGGACTAAATTTATTCGAATTTACATTTTACTTTTCACTGTGTTTCTCTAACTTATTTCTTTCCTTCCGTATATAAGTCTTTTCCCTTCTTACCACTGTTACTGCTTCTATGTCCTTTTTTGAAACTGTTCTTCTATTTTTAGACTGCTCTGCTTTACTCATCAGGATTCTTTTCTCACATTCCTGCATTTATTCTGATGCCTGTGACTTCTTTAGTTTGTTTAACCATAAAAACCTATAGTACAGACCATCTGACTTTATTCTTATATTTTAATCTCTTTTCATATACACCAAAGCTTTACATATATCTTATTAGGCCAAACATACAAAGGAAGGTCTTATAATAATTTCTTCTGTATGTAATTAACAATTTTAGGAATCAGTATTTTACTATCTAGTATATCTACTAGACTTCAGATGTCATTTTCATTCCAACTAATATTCAAGGATTTAAACTCTCTTCCTGTAAAGCTTATAGAACAATAAGCTTTGATCTCTAAAAGCGTAAGTACATCACAGAGACAATGCACATCTGGGTTCACGGGTACTTAGAAAATGTCTCTGTACTACTTACGTATATAAAAGTGTCTTCACTTTTAAGATGCATTTGGTTACACAGTTGCTGATCGTGCTAATGGGATCCAGCCTACCAGATGGATTTAAGATCGTTTGGTTATTTTGTGCCACTTGGTGCATTATGAAACACCAATAGCGTGAGTAATGGTGAAAGGAAAAAGTTATTCTAACTAGTCAGTAATTCAAATTGATTGCAAAAAATACTTCTTTGTAACTAGCATGAAATTAACTTCAATTTGAATATGGAATTCGCAAGACATCTCTGAATTGCAATTCTGTTGACTTTGGAAGGAATATCTACCTAAGACTTTGGGAACAATAGCTACAAAATCACCTGATTTAAGACTGCAGTTCTTCAAATGAACACAGCAATAGCTATAATGGTTCTGTATGGGATGCATTAAACATTGTCATCCAGTGACTACTTCCCTTTTTTGTCTATTTGACAACATCTGCAGTGCACATGCAAGTTCTTAACTTTAAAACAAAGTTACTCTTAAAATAAAGGTCTGTTTTAAATATAGAATAGAGCTTTGGAAAAAAAAAAAAAAACAAGGAAAAAAAAAAACTTAAATTGCTATGAAGATTAAAGTCTGGCTAGCCAGTTACCTTGATTACAATCAATAACATTGCAAAATTCCCTGACATTATTTTCATTGATCTCAGCTTGTTTCCTCTCGATGAAGGCTGATATCCGCCTGTCAATCTGCAGGTAATAAACATGATGGCATATATCTATTTCATTCTTTAAATTTAAAATGTAGAAAGGTATTTTTATTTTTTAATTTAGGTAAATCACTTACTTCTGCTTTTCCAGCTTTTATTTGGACCACCTCTGGATCAAAATTGATATGAGCATCCTTCAGATCTCCCAAGTCATAACTTGCATACTTTTCTTCAGTCTGACTGTTACCATCATAAACATCTAAACTTGTTTCACAAGTTTGGCCTTCCGTTTTACCTGCAAGTTCAATATGGCCTATATTTTCCTCTTTAATCAATGACTGGAGTTTTTCTAAAAGAGGCTGAACAAAGAAAACAGTATACTCGGGGTTAAAAAAAAAAAAAAAGACAAAAAATCCCAAAAGCAAAAAGCCAAATACTATTACAATTTCTAAAATAGTCCAACTGAAATAACTTTAGGAATTACAACATCTGCCTCTGATGGAACACAGTAATAAAATGAGAAAAAAAAAATATTGCAAAAAAAGTTATAGTTTCAAATAGTGCACACACCATGATTCTGACCTTTTTGACCTGTGCCTTTTAGAGGTTTGTATAGGAAAACTCCACAATTTCTGCAAAAATCTGCCTACTACTCATCTGTTACTAGCTAAATCAAAGCTTCAATCATTGGCACCAATGCCACTTAATTAACATGTCATTCAAATGCCTACTCAGAACAGTAAGGCTTAGTATTTTTCCTCCTTCACATGAAAGCCAATGCTTTCACACTGTAAAGCCTTTACTTTATCACCACAGCACTACACTCGCCACTTGAAACTGCGGTTGCCCAAGTGAATGAGAGAACACAGACATGTAATATATAGGCCTTATCCTTAATACTTGCTTTTCTTGACACGGTTGATTATCTACTTAGGTCATGAAATCAAATGAGAGAATGCACTGACATTTGTAACACCAAAATAAATGCTTATTATTCTACTGCAATAACTTTTACAAAAGATGTAATAACAAAACCTCAGTACATTTGTATGTCACACCCCTATTTTTAATTTTTACAAATTTCACCTAGTCTGAATTTCACTGCCTATCTTCCCTCTATAATTTTTTTTTAAAGACAACATGATTTTTACCAGTCACATCTCCTGAAATAGAATCAATTCCTATTTGCAGTGTTCCTACAGTTGGACACAATTTTTAATTGCTTTTATCTTGCATATTTTCTCTTTTTGTTTACCACAACAAAGATTTGGCGGATGTCTGGAAAACATAAAGTGTCCCTCTTTTGCCCACAGACAAGCAAATACAGGAACTTCCTTTTTCACCCCTCAGTACTACACTCCTGAAATAATTCATTGACTAGTTGGAGAAAAAACTGGTATTTAAATCCCCACCTTTTACAGATGAACTTTCAAGGTCAAAACACTGTTCACTTATCAGCTGACAAACTGCTCACCCTCCCTGCCACACTAAATTACATGTACTTTTGGCAGGGCTGGAAAGTTTCAAATAGTTAAAAAGAAATGACAGTAATGGTGACTGGCTACTTGGCAAGATGAGACATTAATGTCAAAGAAATTACTCTTTAAAAAAAAAAAAAAAAACTACGCTGAAAATATATTTAATTGCAGTAAGACACTCCAGGATGTGTCATGCTGGGATAATGCCACTTCTTGAACCACTGAAAGCACTCCATGAGCCTCAAAACTCACCCAACGCATGGAATCATTATCATAGCATGACACACACCTGCCGTGTCTTATTGCTTAATTATAACCCACCATAGATGGAAATGTATCACATTTACAATGCAAGTCTGGAAATCAATGAGGCTGCATTTATTCAGCCTGCTCACCTACAGTAGCTATTCCCACCATTAATCTGTGCGAGTACCTCTGAAGCATAGTGGAATCCCAAGCATATAATACTTTTGCATGCTTTTTTGTTGGACATCGCAACATAAGATCAAAACAACAGAAATTTTACAGTCTCATTGTTGATCACTTTTCCAAATCAAATGTGTCCAAGGAAATATTTACCTGCAAACATAAAATATGCTGCTGAAGTGCACTAAAGAGCAACGTTGGCTGAAGCGCTGATGTGCTTTGAAGCTTGCTCCAATTGATTACAACTTTCACGATATCATCTCCAAGGTTAAGCTTCAAGAGGGCAAAAGAAACACAACAAAAAATTATGCTATTATGTTGCATTAAGGTCACAAAAGTATACAAGACTTCTACAGGACAACAATTATGCTCAATCATCTCATTCAGACCCCATTTTTATATAAGGACATTGGAAAGGTTTGACATTAATTATAATATCATTTTCAAAGTAAGCTAGTATTTGTGGAGTATATTCAAAAATTCAAAATTCCTTACTATCTCATCACACTCATTTTATTAATTTGATCTTTAACTTTAGTCAATTCTCAATTCATTAACTATTGTATGAAAATGTACTGTTTATGTTAATCACTCAAATCTTTTCTTTTAGCAAATGAGAGAACCACCAGTAGGAAGAAACATGCATCCAGGATGGCAGTCTCCTGTACGTTCATCTGTCTTATTCTGAGATTTAGAAGGCCATCTAAGCCTGTATGACCAAGGTCTCAATACTGCGACACACCACATTCTTGAAATTTTTACTTGCCACTAATCCAGAGGAAGCTTTTTATTAAAAATAATTGTTTTAAAAAAAAAAATCTTTAAAAAATCTCAAGGTCAAACAAACTCTAAACTGCACAGCACCACTATGAAACCCATTTCCAAATCACAATTTTTTCCTTTATATGCATTCTGATCAAAATAATAATTGCCATAGTCTCTTTTCTTTGCCAAGGAATTGCAATATTTAACACCCAAAGCAATAAAGAGAAACACACACAGTGAATCTGAACTTTTATTTAGATTATCTATGTATCTTCTATAAACTAAAAATAAACTTTCACTTTCTAATACAAAGTTGATTGATTGTTAATAATCATTTACGAACTACACACTTTCACACCTACCTTTGCCATTTTTGTTACACTAAAGCTCTTCTCAAGATCTTGAAGTAACAAGCACTTTCATTTCCCAAAGCCAAGCAGGTTGTTCTCCAACCAACCAACCTGAAAACAATCCCTCAAATTCTAAATACAGATAAAACTCCTGTTTAAAATCAAGAGGACATACAGGTACTCTGTTTGAGATGCAGAATTCCCAAGTCATATGCATATTTGTATGTCTACATATCACTCTTTTTTTTTTTTTTTTAACCAGTTAAAAAGAAAGAGAGCCCTCAGGCAGATGACAAAAGTGACCTTTAACATATAGTCTAAAGAGATCTAACTTCTAACAGCACCACATATTATGGACAGGAACACAGAATCATATGCACTTTTTTGCTGAATCCACCACACAGTGTACAAGGAAAGAATGAGAACCAAACACCAGAATGCCTGCATCCCTCTGAAGGCAAAGCAGTGGATACTAAGTTGTTCTATGTTTGTTTTAAACCCTAGCATTATCACAATTTTGTATGTAGAGAACTATCAGCCTGAGCCTTCCCTCTTTAGACAAAGAATAGCCTTGTTAAATCCAACGTTTAGATGCCAAATTACATATCAAAGGAGATGGTCTGACTAAATATATTATGTATTTTAGATAATTTTCATTCAAATGGTTATTCCTGTTTAGTACTTAAACTACACAGGAGGTAGAAAAAGTAATGTTTTAGTAAACACCTAAAAAAAAATCAAGAATGTATTCAGAATTTTGTAAGAATAAAACTTTACTTTAAGAATTAAACCACAATGCATCCGTGACCACTGGAAGCACCTACTTCTTCCCAAAGTTTCTAGAGTAACATCTGCTGTACGCTACATTACAGTCCACTGACAAGGTAAAAGAGATGTAGATATAAGACATCATAATGCAACAAATGCTGCAATTTCCTAATAAGCCTCCTTTTTCAAAAAGAAGTAGCTGCTAAGTGCCTTCACATCATAGCATGTAACTCCTGTCCCAAGAGTAAAAAACAGTAGAGCTTCTGTCTTAGAATAATTTAGAGACCAGTGATAATTTAAACTCATAGACACTGTTTTTAAACATAAGCAAAGAGTAAACCCCACCTTCAACCAAACATGTTTCTAGTACAACAGAATTAGTTTTCTCAGTGTTTCACATCCTTCTACCTTTAAGAACTGTGATAAGCAGGTTTTTAAATTCTGTGATTTGGTAACTTCAAAGTTTTGTATATTTACAAGTCCACAGCCCACTCTGTAGCAATTTACAGGACTGTAAGTCATTTCAGTCCTTTGAAATTGTTTTATGAAAGACACCGACTGTCACTTGGGGTTTAAAGAACTTTTCACGATCAGTCATATTGGTTTTAAGAGCTGTTATCCCCAGATGTCCTCCTAGTCACTGTGCTGCAACTAATTGCTCTAGCAAAAAAATTCCTGTGCCAGAAATATTCCTGTTTGCAGTCCAACCTGCTACCATAAATCCAACTCAAACTATCATGATGGATCACAAACCGTGACAGCTAATGATCTGGCACATGTTCACTCACCTCTATAAAAGGGAAATGGGGAATCAGTAGTTTCAGTCAAAAATGCAAGATGGATTGCTAGAGTCAGTAAGCTGGTAAAACATCACAGTTAAATCTACCAGAACTCAAGTGCTGGCAGACAAGAGTGTAACTCAACAACTGGAACCAATCATGGCTGAGCAATTATAAGGGCTTTTCCAGTTAAGATGAAGCAACCGGACCCCCACTTATAGATCAGCGCTGTGCACAGTGAAGTGGGTTTGTTGTCATGGAAAGAATACCTCCAAACACCAATGAAGACAATTTTACTCTGTACCATGACTAAATGTAACTCTACTGAGGAAATGCAGCAATTCTAAACCGGCCTCTTGCAATTGCCTATGTGCACCCAAATATTGTTAAAATCACCAAGCTCTCTCCAGTGACATGATAGACACAGAACAAACTTTGCAGAACAAGTAAGCCACCGAAGAAGAGAGAGAAACTAGAGTGTTTAATGTAGTTTTTAAAACAATTAATTAAATTCGTGATGGGTGCCCTAGCTAAGAGCTTAGGAAACTTTTATTCTTGTGTTTTTCATAACTACAAGAGTTCAGCTTTTCACTCATGTTAACACTTTAAGAGTATAATGACAATATCACATCTGGATAAAGTGACAGTCACCAGTTCTTCATTGATTACATTTAGAATTTTCACTAGGAAGAATTATGGGATATTTTGTCCTCAAGATATATATAGTTTTCCTGTTCTCAGTTATCCTATGAACCAGCAGCGTATGATCATCAGGTGGTTTAGCACTGCACTCCTATTCAAAAGCTAGGGTAGATTTTAATCACTTTAGAGAAAGGAATTTTCAGGCCCTTAATTAAGACTTCTCTGAAAACAGAGACTATTGCTAGCAGACTTTGAGGTGAGAAGGAAATACACAATTCTACTCAGATGAGAGGTTAAATGCTTTAAAAAATCATTTCAGATAAGTTAGCTGCTACTACTAAACTGCCTCTGTATCTGAATGAGTCCATTTCTGAGTATTTTTGTAACAAACATATATTAAGTTATATTATCTCCTGCAGATACTGCTCATCATCTGACCCCAAACCTTCAAACTGCTGTCTAATTTCAGAAGCAACAGTGTGCTTGCACTGCCTTCACAGAACTACATATACGCTTCCACAGCGGAAAAGGAATTAATCTGTAAATTATTTATGGTAATAATTAAGTTGTTACTCAAACCTTCTCCTGATAAGGACCTCCCACCACTACCGTAACATCTGTTAAATAATTCATAACCATTACTAAACCTAAAGTAGGTGTTTCAACTTAAGTACCACAGAGCAAAGCTGCTTTAAAAATTCTGACCCACTGAGACGCACCGTGTGTTTCATAGTATGTTATTACCAAGGCAAGGCTAACTTCAAGCTCCCGATCATTTATTTTGATTTAATGCACAGTAAGCTTTTAGCAGCTTTTCAATTCAGAATCATTAATTGTTAAGACACAGCAATTAGGCAGATTGCAGTTTCTCATGGGAGAGATCATCCACCACGCTACAAAGTGACATGAGACTGCCCAAGGGGCAGAGGCACGGCCAGGACGGTGACACGCAGCAGCAGGACACCCACCCTGGGGGTGCCCAGGCCCGGAGGGATGCAGCCGGCCCCGCCAGCCCCCAGCCCTGATAGAAGCCAGGCGGCAACACCCCCCAGAAGCGAGGGCGCTCCCTTGTTTGTGGCACGCTTCCTTTCTCTTAGGCGCCGTCCTTCCCCGCCTGGAGCGCAGCGGGGCCCCGCAGGCCGGCGAGAAGCAGGAGCAGGCCCTGCTCGGGCCCCCAAGGCAGGGCGAGCCGGGCGCGGCGCCAGGCCCGCGGCGCCCGGGCCAGTCTTACCCCAGGCCCCCCGCCCCGAGA